AGACGAGGGGCTGCGTGGGTGATGAGGCTGCTGTCCCAGCACAGGGTTCGCAAGGAGCCTGGGGCACCGCTGGCTCTGGCACCGAGAGCAGCCTCCTCCTGAGCTGCCATGTGCTCTGGGAAGGGGTTGATGCTGCTCCGTGCCTCTTGCCTCTGCAGCAGGGTGAGTTTCTTACGTCTCCCTCGTGCCATGCATGTTACCTGGGGTGAGGTAGGCAGCCCCGGCACCCTGCCCGCCAGCCTGCCAGCTGTGGCATGCGGCGCAGCAGCTGAGCGTGGCACACCAACCCTCTAAAAGAGTGGTTGCGCTTCTGCAGCGGGTAGTGTGTGCATGGGGGGGTGTCGGAGCCAGGCGGCAGTCTGTCTCTCCTGGGGAGCAGCTGGGTTTTCCAACCAGACAGCTTCAACACTTGCTGGTTTTTTGAAAGCTGCACCTTTGTCAGAGACAGTGCTCGGTTCGAGAGTGAGCAGTTAATTTAGGAAACTCAGCAGAATGCTTGTACTCCCTTTCCTCCAGCTTCCCAAGCCTTTTTCACTTCCCCAGGTCAGACAGCAGCAGATCACTGACAGAACCGGTGCCTGGCATTAAGTGGTGGTGACAGCTGGGTTTCGATAAGTAGAATGATTGCGGGGGGGCGGCCTGTTGTCAACTTCACTGAACGCAGCAAGGATGAGGGGCTCTGGCTGCGGCATGGGATGGGGCACAGCTGGCGAGAGGTGGAGGTGGCTGCCTCTGGCTTCAGCCCGCTTGTGAAAGCAAATGATTCCCCCCCCCCCCGCCCCCGGCCTAAGTGGTGATCACGTATGTAACCGCCCAGCCATCACTCGAGTCCTTTTTGCTCCTCTTCAAGCATGGCACCGTGACCCGGCTGCTCGAGCACTGGAGAACAACTGCTGGCTTTGCTCCCGCGGGACTGCAAGGATCCAAGGTTGTTCTCAACACCCTTGGACCACTTCAGTCAAGAAGGTTTCCACCTCATTTTAAAACCAAAGTCTGGGAAGTGAGGGGATGCTTGAGTGGCACATGTACTCATAAAGGTACTGCCAAGGTACCGCATGAGTGTCTCTGGGGCATTCTGGCCAGAGCAGCCGGCGGTGCAGGGACTGAGGGCTCGGCAGAGACTGCTCAGCCACACATTATCAGCACTCTTGCGACAGAGGGCTCGCTCCCTCCAGCGTGTTGCAGTACTTCATCGTGGTCAGAATTGCACCATGTTGTGTTACAAACTGTAAATAGTTGTGTTATAGCCTGGTTTGTACATACAGAAGCCGTAGTGACCTTTGATACGGGTTTGGGACAGGTGTGTTCTTGGCAGCGGGGCAGGTCAGGCGCAGAGACGCTGTGGGTAGTCTTGTGTTGTAATCCAGGGCATTAAATGAGTCCAACCTGCTCCAATCTACGCCTCGCTGGACTCCTCTCTTTCTATAGTGCCTTTTCTAGATACAGCTAAACACACATCATGCAATACAACGAACAAAACCATGTCAAAGGTGGTGTTTTGTTTTTGTTTTTTCAAAGTGCAACTGACTGTGTAAAGCTTTTTTTTTTGTTTAAAAAAAAAAAAAAGAAATCCCAGATTAGCTACAAACCGTTGCCTATTGAAAAATGCAAGAGCATTTTCAGCTTTGATCTAACGGTAGGTTAATACAATCAACTTGTGTTTGAGCCTGGCTTCTCAGCAACAAGTGGCAGGAGGGGGAAGGAGCCTTTGCCATGTGCCCTGTATGCTGTAGCCAATTTACATGTTGGTTTTTGCCTCTTCCATTACTGATGCTGTTCAATGTTGTTTAAATAACTGTACTATATTTTGTGAAAAGCTGAAGAAATTTTATTCAAAGAGAAGTATCGAGATTAGTTATTTATGAGGACAAAAAAAAAGTGTGTGTTGTTTTCTTTGCTTCTGCTTCTGCTGGAATATTAATTACCATAAAAAAAACTTAACTGGGGGGGGGGGGGTGTGGGGGGGCTGGTGCTGGGGGCGGTGGAGGTTATCACGAGGGATCGTGGGGGGACCGGTGAGGCAACTAGACTTGGCGTGGTGCAGGAATAGCATGTTCCATGTGCACGAACCCCACGCAGTGCTGCCCTTGGCATGGGGGATGTCACGCACTTGCGCCCTCACCGCTGGCGTGCCGTGGCCCACCACGGTGCTGTGCGGCCCAGCCTGGGTGCAGCAGCCCGGCTCTGCACTGAACCAGGTTTAATCCTCAGGGGCTGCCGTGCCGGCTGGCTGTGCTGCTGGCTGGTGCCCGTGACCTCGCTGACAGCATGTTTCCTTGGCAGGCCAAGGTCACACCTTGCTGGTAGAAGGGGGGTTAACTATCAACTTTTATTGGTGTTCTGCAGTTTGCACAGTATCAGTCCCTCGCCCTGCGCTGAAATCAGGCCCTGAAGAGGTGCCCTTTGATACTTTTCAGGCCAAGCAGGATGCTGCACGCCTATTTGAGTGTCCCTGTTGCCATCTGCTGTGCACTCTCTCCTGTTGGGAGGAGCACTTTAGGAAGGACAGCAAGGGGTTAAGGCTGGCTCCGTGGTGACTAATAGTGCAGGACTCTGCTATCTAGTTAGGTGTGTAGGCACACACCAGATCCCACTAGATAGGATCTCTTACCTGGAAGCAGCATTCCAGCACCCTTCAATAAACCTGACAGCCGCACAGACTGACTCACCTGATTCCTCAATGCCGGCTGATCTGCCCCATTCCCACCTCCCCCCCCCCCATGCTCAAGTACAGGCAAAACACGCTGTCAGGGTCTGATCCTATCTATCTTGTGCAGGGCAAATGTTTTGGGGTGTGGTGGGGACATGCACCAGCTCAGCATGAGGTTCTTACTGAGGAGCTGTGCACGCTTGCTGCCTGCTTCTGGAATTAACTCCAGCACCTCTCTGGCAGCCTTGTCGTCATCCTTGCCTCCCAGGAAGCTGCTGTGTCCTCAGCTCCTCAGTAAATAGGAGTTTGGCAGAGCGGCCATCCACCACCTACCTCAAGCCACTGTTTTGGAGGAAGGGACTGGCCATTACTGCAGACAGCCATTTGCAAATCACCTGCAGGACTCTGTTCCTGTGAGCAGATGCGTGGTCACATCCAGCCCAGCCTAATGCTTGTGCTGCTGTGTCACTCCCGTGCTCTCCGTGTCCTATTTCATCAACTTAGGCCATTCTCGAGGCAGTCACTGGCTTCCTTGGGGTTGAACAGTGCAAATGCAGCACAATTTCAGGCTGGGTGGCATGGGGAATGACAAGTGTCTGACAGTACAGGGACCATGTGGCTTCTCAAAGAGGTTTTAATATCACAGAGCAGAAGCCAAAGTGGTTGTTGCACCTAAAAAAAAAAATGACTTGTCCACAAAAGCGGCCTGAGATTTTTCTAATCCTATGACAAACAAGCCCATGTTAAGCCAGTTAAAT